GAAGAAGTCTCTTGGAGGAGAGACGAAACGTTTCATTAAAGATGAACCCGTCCAGAGGACCTATACAATTTTTTTCTTCTTATTTTAGAGTTACTTATAAAGTTTGATGCAGTTTGTTATTAACTTTTTTGTTATTAACTCAGTCTATCAGCAAAATATTTCATTAATTGTTGAATGGATTAAAATAGAAATCTCAAGAAACAATCATTGGATGTTATATTTGGAACCAAAGAAAGTTAGCAGACGTAGCACAACCTCTCCTTAGAAAACACAAAATTAGCTAAAATATAAACAATTTCACTAATATTGTGTTAATATTTTGTGTGTTTGTACCTGAGAGTCATTCCCAACACTTCTAGCCACTTATGCAATGTATTTGCTTGCTCTGTCATCTGTTATAATATAGGAACCACTAAGATTTTATTGAAACTCACTCTTAACCCGAATTAGTTGACCTTACTAGAAATTTGCGAGGAAACCTGTTGCCTTAAACCATTCTAGTTTTTACTCAATATTGAAACTAACCAGGTTTAGTTGTGGTAACTTAAGAACTTCAATACAATGTGGTAAACATATTTAACATACTTTAGAAATGTTGATTGGTTTACATAAATTTCTTTCTAGTTTCATGACATTACTATTTACTAAAACATTTACTATTAACTAAACTTGCATAGCCATATTAAGCAAATAACCTTAATAACATTAGTTTAAGCTACTGAAAGTATTTTAATATAAATTACTTTTTATTCTAATGTAATCATCCTTCCGATCTTCTAAGTACATTGAAAGCAACAATAAACATTTTAATGTTCCAACACATTTTATTTTCTTTTTAAACAAAATATTTTAACTAGTCATCAGGCTTATCACAAGTAAAAATAATGGTATTAAGACAGTAGTCAAAAGTCAAGTAAAAATAGAAATTTTAAGTTTTTGATATAAACTTTGACCAGTTAAAAAATACAAAAACAGTGGCAATAATTCTTGTGCTGCTATATTGGCTGAGAAAACTCAAGCAGCAAAATTTTTAGTGTTCTTATTGCAGATGAATTACATAATGACATGAGGACTGTGTCGATCAATGCTCTCATAAAATTCCTGCTTGAGGTTCATGCCAACAAGCCTGTTGAGCTCCATGAATACCTGCAAAATTCAGAGAATGCTCCAATATCACATCTCAACAGCTGATATCAACCATATTTATATATACAGATAGACATATGTGTATACATAAATATATATACACATTCCCTGTATTTGCACTTCCATTGCACTTTCGCTGTGACCTGTAAAAAAAGAAAACTTTTAGCACAGTTGTCCACATCTTTAAGTCATCTGAAATCAAGTAAAATTGTAGCCTGTTGAAATATTGTCTCCCTTTAAAATTTGTGTTTTTCCTGTTTCATGTTAATAAGGGTTAATTAAATGAGTCAGGCTTATCTTTCTATTTACAGACTACTGATGGAGTTAAAGAGTTTTATAAGTAAAAGAAAAAAACCCACTACTATTCAAGACCAAGCTGATTACAGTTAAAACTAGAAACCGCATAGCGTTAACATAATGACCCCCGCACGCAGAAATGCACCGTAACTCAGGAGTCTTTATTCGTAATAAATGTCATGCTACCAGGTGCATGCCAAAATTGTAGTGGTTTTGGTGGGGGTCTTTTGTGTGTGTGTGGGGGGGGGGGGTTGGTTGA